GGGGTTTAGGATTTGGGGTTTACGGTTTAGGGTTTAGGGTTTAGGGTTTAGGATTTGGGGTTTAGGGTTTAAGGTATAACCCCAAACTCCACGCCTTGAGCTCTAAACCCTAAACCCCTAAACCCCTTAACCCTGGACCCTGAATCCTTTACTCTAACCCTAGGCTTCCAAGGACCTTATAGTTAGGGCCCTAGACCCCTTAAGGACCCAATATTAAGGTCGTTTCGAGTAAACCCCCATATCCCGCGAGGCTCCCGACTTCATGTCGGTAGCCGCCCTCGTTGCCGCCAAGCCACTGGCACAAGCCCTGACCTCGCCTTTCAGCATGAGGTTCCGTCCTTAAGGGATTTAGGGTTTAGGGTTTATTTAGGGTTTGAGGTTCCGTCCCTAAGGGATTGCAGGGATGTGTCCCCTAAGATGTTGTGTCCCCTAAGATGTTGGGGAACTATCAGACCCATACACCTTACACCCTAAACCACCCTAAACCGACAACTTTAGGTTCAGGGTTTGGGATGTTGGGGTTACCGGTTTAGAGGTTAGCGGTTTAGGGGTTACCAAACTCTAAAAGGGTTGTGGTGGAGCGTCGGACCACGTCTCAGTGAAGCTCCGAAGTGCTATAAGGTTGAGGATTTACAGGTTCTACATTCAAGGGGAGTTTAGGGTTTAGGGTTTTCCATATGGCGTAGAATAAGGGTCTTATGACGTTTCCTATACGAGGTACTAAAAGGAGCCACTTCAAGGGCTACTACGGGTTGAGATATAGGCTATGATACAGGTTTTGTTGGGGATTCAAAGAGAAGTCATGGGCCCGAAACCCCCCAGGACTTCCCTGCGAGATGCATAAGATGAAAGAACTGCAGCCGGATGTTTACGGGTTTAGGCTGCAGTTCTAGAGATTTGGTGTACATGATAGAACTCATGCGCTTAAGAGAATGCCTACCATCCGGTGCTAAGTCTTTTGACATCCGGGCTTGGAGTTCACTAGCCCTACATGTCTCCGTCGCGCGACTTGCCTAATCCAGAATTGTCCTTCTCAGAGACTGTGCTTCCGAAAGCAAGAGCCAAAGCCCTAACCCAATCCATCTCCAATTAGGCCGATGAAAGGAAGTAGGATTCTTGTGAATGGTGCCCAGCCCTTGTCCTCCCTAACACTCGCAAGCAGAATGTGGGGCGGAGTACGGACGCACACTGGCTAGCCGGTTCATATTACAGTAGGAGCCAGAAAATTGGGACATCATTTTCCTGTGCCCTTTAAGGTAAAGCATAGGGAATCCCAGCGCCAATAATCTCAAATCCATGTTCCGACTTTTTCGGGCTCACTGTAGCTATCTTATTCCTTAGGGCTCCCTATCATAGTTATACAAGAGTACACCCACCCAAATCCTATTGTAGCGATTGATTCTAAGGGCCCTGTAGGCTAAACCCTAACCCCTAAACCCTAAACCCTAAACCCTAGGGTTTACCTGCAGGCTATAGTTCCATTTCAGTCGAAGTGAGGGTAGAACTCTTGAAGCAATCCGAAGCCTGAAGCGTTCGACACCAACCTCACGAACCTACTAGGGTTTAGGGTTTAGGGGTTTAAGGTTTTGGAGTTTTGGGGTTTTGGGGTTTAGGGTTTTGGGGGGTTTAGGGGTTTAGGGTTTAGGGCTTCTTACAAGCTTGAGGGTTCAAGGCAACTGCAGGGATGTCTAGAACTGCAGAAGCCGCGCACAAAACCCTAAACCCTGAACCCTGAAAACCCTAAACCCTAAACCCTGAAAGCCCTAAACACTAAACCCTAAACCCTAAACCCCGGAAGCCCTAAAAGCCCTAAACCCTGAGCCCCCGAAGCCTGAAGCCCCATAGTAGAAGCCCAAAAGTTGGAAATCCAATAGCCTCAATCGTAAAGAGGAATGTATAGGGAATCCCAGCACTAATTGTCCTGAATCCGGTTTCCAACTTTTTGCGGTTTACTATAACCCCCTGCCACAGGCTCGTGCGCTGCCGAGAGCTTTTCTTCACTCAGATTGGCCTTGCCCTGCAAATAAGCGGGCTATTGATCCAGGCCGGGTGCTCCAAGAGTGCTGTACCATAAGGGGCAACAGGTACTCTACAATAAGGGGTGCTTTAAGGGTACTGTACTGTAAGTTTCCACGATTTTTGGGCTTGGGGTTTAGGGTTTGGGGTTCTTGCGTTTGGAGCTTGGGGGTTTAGGCTTGCGGGTTTCGGGGTTCAGGGCTTACCCATTTAGGAAATTGGGTTTAGGGTTTACGAAACCAACTCAAGTTGATCCAGGGAGACACTTGTCGCCAGTTCTTGACTGTCCACCCTGCTGAGATTTTAGGCATGTGGATTCGAGCTCTATACTGTAAGCCTAGACACAAACTCCCGCCCCTCCAAAAAACAGAAAGCGAGCTGATTAGGGATATGAAATTCTTTTTTGTCGGAAATTGCAGGGTCGTTTACCGAAAGACTGCCTGAGAACAGAAGCACTTCCGTGGTACGTCAAAAACCGGTTGACGTTGACGAAACTCAGAGACAGAGACAGGGAGGGAGAGAGAGCGAGAGCGCTAGAGTAAGACTACGAGAGAGGGGTCACCACCAAGCAGAAACAGCCACTCCACCGCCACAGGCGCTGATGCCCAGCTTCTTGGTACTGCAACCTTCATCCCGGATGAAGTTCAGAGCTTAGGTTGTAGGGTTTGGGCTTTGGGGCTTAGGCTTCAGATTAGAACATGACGATGAGTAGAGCTGACTGCAATGGTCATGATACCATCAACGTCATCATGATCGCCATCGGCATCATCAGCGCTCTTTCTCCAAAGCCACATGGAAGTGTCATGTTCCAGGCGTCTTGGACGTCAGAATCGTATCTTCTAAGATGGATTGTGGTTTCGGGGATCATGACATGTTGAGATTTTTGGGCTGCCCTAAACCCTAAGGCCTGAACTCTAAACCCTAAGCCCTAAAGCCCAAACCCTAAAGCCTAAACCTTAAACCCTACACCCTAAACCCTAAACCCTAAACCTTAAAGCCTAAACCCTAAACTGCCTACAAGGCTTCTGGAGGTTTTCGACTTAAAGTCTCGGCTTTCCTCAAGGCAGCGACATGTTTCGGAGTGTCCAATCCGAGACTAGTAAGTTTTTTTGGGTTATGGGTGTAGGGGTTTAGGGGTTCAGGGTTGAGGGTTTAGGGTTGAGGGTTCAGAGATTAGGGTTTAGGGTTGAGGGTTGAGGGTTGAGGGGTCAATTCAAACTCAATAGTCGATACCTTTCCCAGAGCTTCAAAACGAATGCTGCCAAATGCTCAATCAGCCTCAAACATTTTAAACCTCAGTTTCTAAATCCTATTTGATACTATGCGTGGATTTCTTAGTAGTTGATACTATATGTGTAATTAGTATAGTAATGTAAGTATATCTAGGTAACATGCCATGTCAGATGTTTCAGCCCCAAGCCCCAAGCGAGGTTTCAGCTTCTTCTGCATCGCACGCGCGCTACAGGGGATCGCCTCGGCTCTTCTAATACAGGCTCGCGCTCTTTTTCAAGCTTCAGGACTTAAAGTCTAGGACATTTTCAGGTGGGTAGTTACCGTTATAGGAGCCTTATAGAAGGTCTATATACCTTATAAGAGGCCTTATAGAAGCCCTATATACCCTAAACTCCCCACCTATCGTTTCCTTTAGTTGAAAGGGTCTGGGTGTTTCTGGATTTAGGAGCCAGGCTTTCGGGCTTATGGGTAGGGTTTAGGGTTTAGGGTTTAGGGTTTAGGGTTTAGGGTTTAGGGTTTAGGGTTTAGGGTTTAGGAGTCCCTGTTTGAAGTGCGAGACTTGATGGAGGGCTATGCCGGCCAAGCTGCAATCGCAGCAATGGTAGTGAATGGGTTTTGGGAACCATAAGAACATCCATAAGACTAGTGATAGTGCCAATCATAATGATAATCATAGTGTTGGTACTGATACTAAAACCGCCAAAAGCTGAAACGACGAAATGAGAGGCGAAATCATCATCAACAGGTAGGTTCAGCATCAGCCGGTTGCTTCGAAAGCACCTTCATCGGCTGCACTTTACGCTTTAAGTCCTAGGGATTTAGGCTTTGGAGGAAGGTGGGCCCAAGACTCCTACAACCAGGGATCATCCGAGGCCGACCCCCGGGGCGGTTGAAGTTGGCAGTTAAGAGAGGGGGCCTAAACCCTCAACCCTCAACCCTAAACTCCCAAAGCCTATACAATTTTAGGGGCTCCTGAATAAGGGGTCCACAAACCCTATTCTAATTATCAAGGCCCCTTAATCAGGCTGAGTGTGGAGTTTCAGGGCGCAGGCTTTGCGGCTAAGATGAAGTAACCCTAGAAATGCTTTTCAGGATCAGCTACTCTCCCGAAACACTACCTTGCACGTCTCATTAACCGTAGCCGAAGTCTAGCTTCAAATATATGCCACGGCTAGATTCTTGGATACCTGGACTCTTCGTGCAGAACCAACCTACAAACCCCAAAGCCCGTGATGCAGGCGAGCCCCCTGACGACGAATCGTTTCGAGGCTGTCGATCCGCTTCCTGGGTTTGGGTACCTCTCAGGCTTGCTGAATACGATACAAACCCAAAGCCTCTGAGAATAAAAAAGAAGCCGAAAAAATCTTAGGGTCTTATGGTCCCTGATTATAGTTATACCATAAAGGAGCCCGAAACCCCATTCTAAATATTAAGGCCCCGCTCTTGAGGGTTGCGGTTGCAGAGTTTACAGCCTCCGGCTTGTGCATCTTGGTGCTTCTAGGGTTCAACGTTGACGGGTTGTAGGCTTAATTTAGGGTTTAGGGATTTAGGGTTTAGGGTTTAGGGTTTAGGGTTTAGGCTAAATGCTTGAGAACACGGGGGGCGTAGGGTTCCAAAACGAACCTAAACAGACGATTCAGGGTTTAGGGTTGGGGTTTGGGGGACATTGAGCTGCAAGCCTTCTTAAAAGGGTGCTCGACACTGGAGTTCGAGACCCATGCAAGTCGCTTGCAAATCACTCGAATAACTCGTAGAACATCCGGCGCGCAGGTGAAAAGCCTGCACGACAATCAGAATCCATCAGACAGCTAACAGCCCTCAACACCGAAGCCGAACCGGGCGCTTAGTCGCTCTTAACGGCCGGCAGGCGGCGCAGAGCGGCATCGCAGATTCTCGGCTTGCTTGTGTTGCATAGCATGTCATGTTGCGGGCGTGGGGTTGTTACGACTCTTGCTTAATGTCGAAGGGTAGTTTCGTCTTCGGCTACAGTGCTACACCAACTATAGCGGGAGTCTTTCCTTGACATTGCCAGCTACGATGTCGGGGATGGCAAGCTTCGAGGTGGCGTTCAGAGGTTCTCACAAAGCTTTAACAAACCTTATTAAGCTTGACCCTGAAGCCCATTGCTTGAAAATGCTTAATCTCCCTGTCCCAGGCGTCTGTTGGATTCTCGAACCAGGTTATTCAGGATTCGGGGTCCGTTTCATCACAGACCGCCAAACAACTGACATTTTCTAGCATCCTCCGGCATAATCTAGTACAACCAAATCCAGTCTGGGACAATGTGACAGATTCCATAAACATAAACTTAATCCAACACCTCTGAAGGCTCCGCCTCGAGCTTCATAGTCCGAAGCCCTGTGCCCACACCCGAAGCCAAAACACTGTACCCTCAAGCCTAAAACCGTCACCCTAAACCCTAAACCCTTAAACCCTCAAAACCTGGGACCCTTGACCCTTCCCATAGGCTTTATTGTAGTTCCTTTGTGGGATTGCTTTAGAGGATCCTAATCATAAGCCACAAAAAGGAACTATCATGGAGCCTATAAGTACACCCTGCATCCCTGTAACCCGCAGTGCGAAACCCTAAATGCCTCGACCCGATAAGTCTTCAAGAAGGTCAAGTTCATCTACGCCGGCCTCGTCTGCGGCACCCCTTTCGGTGCTCTCACCTTCTCAAAGGCTGCTTGTCGAGTGAAGCTCAGGTGTAAGCGTTGAGGATTGGGGCTGAGGTTTGCTGGTTTCACTTTGGGGGTCCTAAGATCGACGACTCTTGTGAACCCATGCATGGACCGACCTCCCGCTCTGTCACCCGGAGAATCGGCACGTCAATGCTTCAGGTAAGTTGCAGTCACAAGCTTGGATGTTCTTCTGCTGTGTCCAGGAGCCCTTTCTGCCTTTCCTATCGCTGGCTTTGGCCGAGCTGGTTCTTTTGCCGCCTGGCTGCTCCGGTTTAGGACTGGGAGATCTCTTGGTTGCATGGTGCGGGCTGGAGCCGGACCTGCACTGCAGACAATCGGATAAGAAGTTCAAGCGCAAGGTTAGGGGTCGCCACTCACAGCACAAAGCGGACGGCGCACGGGCGCTTACAGCACCCTATAGCGAACATAGCAGGATTTCCAGGCGGATGTGTGCATCGTCCTCCTCTCCGTCATCAGCTTCGTCACCTCATCGCTCTCCCATCAGACCCTCATCGCCGTCATCACCGACCTCATCATCATCTGAATCTGCTTCTTCCTCTTCACCAGCACACCAGCAGCAGCAGCAGTACCACCACCATCATCACGTGTATCTTCATCGTCGTGATGATGCCCCGGCGCAATAGTGACCAAGATGCCAAAAGTCATCAACAGGAATGTTGGGGAGGAGTTTCTTTCGGTGATTGTTGCGGCGGTATTCCGTGCCCAACTGAGATCGCATGACTGCTCTGATTTGAGAGCCTTAATACTGCAATAGCATTAACTTAGATGGCCAACGGGAGAACTTTAAACTTTTTGGCCTTATATATGAGGTCTGTCCCAAAAAGTTTGAACTTTTTTGGACCTGGTTGTTGAAGAAGAGAGTTAATGTGCACCTGCCAAGCATTGCAAAATGGGCGTCCAGATACCATTACTGTTTTGCTTCATGGCTTCAAAATGTTTCAAGCTTTCTGTAGCCAAAGAACTAACACAGTCGCTCCGACCAGGCATTACGCGTTACCTGCTTCAACAGAGCTTCAAAACATGTGCTGAGCCCTTTCGAGGATAGCGATTTGGCTCAGCTGGGGCGGCCTTGAGGAAGAGAAGGTGCTATGGGATCACAGGGCTGTCCGCGGACATTCTAGCCATGCTGAATGCAATCGGACCTCCTCGAAGATTTCGCAAACGTCCACGAAGCCTCCGAGATGCTGGAATGGCGAACATGCCCCACCCAACAGCCCCACAAGCGCGCATTCCCAATCTTGCTGACAAGAATCCCGACTTGTAGCAACTGCAACTGGAATCTATGACTTCCGGAGATTGTAGAGGCCCGACAAATCAGTAAATCTTTGTTCCTGTAAGGTTCCTTCTACAAGCATTGTATACTCTACTGCCCGAGACCTCAACTTAAGCCCCGGCTTCGTAAATCTCAGGACCATGCTAAGATCTTCGATGCAGTCTTGGAGGGGTCTTCCAAGTGTTGGATCCATCGTGGGATCCTCACTGAAGGAAGCCCCAAGCTACCAAAGCACCTTACGACGCCCTCAAATCCACACTCAAATTTGCAACATCTCCGCCCGAAGCCACCCAAATTCATTGTGGCGGCAGAGACCTGCAGAAGACAATCATGTAGTCGTCGTGGTCATGGTCGTGGTGGTAGTGGCAGATGCAGGAGTAGGGGTGGTAGTAGTAGTAGTAGTAGTAGTAGTAGTAGTAGTAGTAGTAGGAGTAGTAGTCGTAGTAGTAGTCGTAGTGGTAGTAGTAGTCGTTGTCGTAGTAGTCGTAGTAGCCGTAGTAGTAGTAGTAGTAGTAGTAGTAGTAGTAGTAGTAGCAGTAGCAGTAGTAGTGGCAATCTTTAGTACTGGTCGTCGTCGTCGTAGTAGTAGTAGTAGGAGTAGTAGTAGCAGTAGCCATAGCAG